TGCTCGAGGCTCGAGGCGAGGTGGAGGAGGGCTCGGTCGTGGCAGGTGAGGGCCCCATGGCTTACCTTCTAGCTTTATTTTGATGTTTGCTTGGGGTACCCCGTTCTAAGTTACCCGACACTTTGCATCACCATTCGGGATTAGGAGCACGCAGTTCAAATTCACTAGTTGGTTGAGGACCCCCAGTCCAAAACACCGACAGTATCCTTGTTTATTTTCTAATCAAATGATATCATCAACGTAATTAATGGTGATTAGTTGATAAATAAAAAGTATTTAATGCAAAACTAGGTTTTATTCTCAGAATGCATTATATTTGATGACAAATTTTGAACGCTAGAATGCACTCTTTTACAGGACGGAGGAAGTAGTTCCGAGCGTGTGGTGCGCAGCCAGTGCAGTTGGCGGGGTTCGACCACCATCGGGGCTCGAGCCGCGTGGAGGCAAGATACGCACGGCGCCAGTCCGCACAGACAATGCCCAATACTAATGTATGTTTTGATGCATGATTGATATGAACGAAACCTGGCTGTAGAGTTTATAGGCTCCGTTTGTTTGAACTTATTCAGAACTATTTTTCAGTCATTGAACGGTGTTTTTCTCTTAAAACATTTCAGCATAAGCATCAGCATAAACTAAATTTCAGCATCAGCGAACAGGGTGTATATTTACGTCTTGAACATGTTGGGTTTGGTCGAAATTTGCTCTAAAAGCACCACATATCGACCGAATAATTAGCTCGAGGAATGCTGTACAGTCATGGTATGGTCAGGCATACGGGCTCTGATGATGGCATTCTTATCCTCGATCGATCCATAACTATTCTAACCCGGCCAATTACTCATCAGACGAACCAGGATCAGTCACCAGCGTGCATGGTCTAGAATAAAGAAACGAGACTAATTATTGGAGAGGATATATTTCGCCCGACTTTATTCGCGCCTATCCACGGGCATAAATTAAAAATCCTTGGAGCGAGACTAACCATAGCGTGTAGTATATAGTATATACACACTAACGCACCCAATACACTCATCATCATGGAGAGAATAGAAAAACCTCGCATCAGATTAGTATTATTCCTACGCTAGAAGTGGTAGCTGCTGCTTATCTTTGCTCCTACACACAGCTAGCTTTAGGTTAGGATTAGGCAGACGTACCATTCGATGGCTTGCATGATCAATCGTCAATCATCAAACCTGCAGCGCGATGATGGATGCAATGTATGTAACCATTTCCTTTAGGTACCTGTCGGGCAGGAATTCGGCCGGAGGTGCTCATCCGTGGAGGCGGAGCGGCCGGCATGGTCCGGGATCCCCAACCGTGCTCTGCTCGAAGCCCCCCAACAGGGGCCACGGACGAAAGGGCGAAGCGGCGGACCGGTCATAAGTGCATGCCCTAGCGCTGACGGCAACGCATGTTTGCAGATGTCGCCATCACAAAAATATTAGCAGCTCTAGTATATATAATATAACATAATGCTCCAGTTTATCTATCTGTCCCGACATTCAGATAAGGATTAATTTCGGGGATAGATTACGCCGACCGGATCGCCGAAAACGACGTGCGTTCGTTCTACGTTGCGTGTGCAAAATGCATGCCCTGCCCGGTGTGTTGTGTTGTGTCATCGTGTGCGGCAGCGAGCTCAAGCTGTGATGGACACGGTACGATCATACGAAGCTGTGATATGATGGACGCCGGACGGGACGAGCGAGCAGTCGTTGGGGCTTCGGAGGTCAGACGAGGCGGCTGGTCAGGTAGGCAGGCACCAGCCGGAAGGGGCAGCCGCGGCAGGAGCCGCTGCGCGCACGACTGCATCAGGCGTGGGAATTGAAGGTGCCAGAACAGCATGGGCCATGGCTGCAGCCTGCGGCAAGCGTGCGCGCTCGCCCAGCTGCCAACCAACAGCAAGCGCCACGCCACGCCGGTACCTGCGCACGTGCTTGTGTACCGCGGATCGCACAGCGTGCTGGTGGTTGGCTGGTTGCTTGAGCCGCGGCCAAGCTAACCATCGCCGCTTAATCTCTAACCACGGATCCGGACGGCGGTTCTTATCCTGGGGGCTGCGGAGGTCGGTGAGTTTCTTCGCGGAGGATTCTGGCTCGGGCTGGCTCGCAGACCGATCGCGTCGAGTACAGCGCGTGGGGCGACGCTGTTTGCGCGCGCCCAGCCGGCGGAACCAGCGGCGCGGGGGAGGACGAACCGAGGGAGTGCGTGCGTGCGTGCCCCTGTCCTGTTCCTGCTGCTGCCACCGAGGCGGTTCGTGCGCTGGGAAACCAAAACCAACCGAACCGAGGTAGGAGTGGGGCGGCCGGCCGGCCGCGCGCGACTGCCGGAAAAGAGCGTTTCTCCCGGAAGGAACGTAACCGCGCGCTGTTGCTCGTGCGCCTCCACTACTGCATCTTCATGTGCGTACGCGTACGCGTACGCGTTACTGTACATGAAAACAAGATGCTGCGCTCGCCGTGGGACTGAGCAGATACGTGCTCGGCGTTCGTGCTTCCAGTGAATAGTGTGCATGTAATCATGCAAGGGTTTGGTGGATGAGCCAAAAGGGTTCTCGACGTATCATTGCTGCGGCTTCCATCGCCAGACAGCGGAAAGGAAACCAAGAATGGTGCTGCCGATTATCCTAGGGAGAAGGTCGGAAGTGGGAGAGCGTAACATGGATTATTTACTGCTGGTTGATTTGGTGTAAAAGAAAAATACTATTTTAACTAAAAAATTTTATGATCGTTTACGACTAAACGAACAGGCTATGTGGTGCTTGCCAGCCCGTAAGCAAGAGCATAATCTATCCGGTGCGTGCCTCCCGAAAAACGTTTCTTTCCTGCTGCAGAGGACGCATCGGAATTCTCGTTTCCACGTCAAGATGTTGTTGGAGTACTCAACATGGCAGGCCCAGCCCCCCCAGTGCGTGTTTAGTTGCAAAAAAAAGTTCTAAAAAAGTGCTATATACTCATCACGTTAAATCTCGTGATATATGTATGGAGCATTAAATGTAGACGAAAAAAAACTAATTGTACAGTTTGTTTGGAAATCGCGAGACGAACGTTTTGAGCCTAGTTAGTCCATGATTGAATACTATTTGCCAAATAAAAAAAAAGTGCTATAATACCCAAATTCCAACTTTCCCTCCAACTAAACGCAGCCTCACTCTCTTCGAACAATCGTACTATGCGTCTGAAAAAAAACACAATTATAGTTTTTTATTAATTATTATTAGATTAATATATAGAAAATGGTAGAAAAAATCATGACAACATCTAGATATACTATTAAAATATATTTAAAGATTTTTTAGTAATATTTTGATTGGTATCATATTTTATATATAGACTTGATTGCTTTCACTCGACTGGAGAGATGTGGCACAGGAGTACGAAAGCAGAGTCGCAGACTGCATTACCGATAAATATCATCCTTAACAAGGTTTCCTTACTCCAATTTTATATTATTCCTATACATCTATAGCCCCAGGCCCCAGCACTTCCATATCTTGATTATCTTTAAAGAAAAGCACACTCCCATCCCATCTCTATCATTCTCCCGACGCAAAGCGACAAGCGATTCCGGCGAAACGTTTTCGAACGCTGCTCCTGGCTCAGACATCTGTCTGTCGACGCGCATAACCAAAAGCCGCCGCGGGGTCAAAGAATGATTGACCCCTGCGCTGCGCACCATTACACAGAAATACACAAACACTAGTCCTGCGACCAAGGATTTGCCCCACCGACCCATCATTTGCGCTGTCGCCGACAGGTGGGCCCCGGTACCGAAAGCGTCCGCACCGATCGCCATCACTCTCGACCCGAGCGAGGCCCCCCACACGGAGGCCACGCCACCAACGGCGAATGCATGCAGAGCGAGAGCGGAGACGAGGCCATGCGCAGCGTCACAGGGTGCTGGAAGCACCGAAAAGACGACGCGGGTAGCTACCGTCCGGGGCGCCGTCCAGCTCACGCGTGGCGCAAGAGAGGCGAGCAGCGGTCAGCGATCCACGGGTTCGGATAGGGAGGAAGGACGACGCCGGGTTGGAATGATGCCGCCGCTCAAATGGCGTTGGCTCTGGCTCTGAGCGCCCGTGGCCGTGTGTGGGCGTGGCCCCTTCGGTTGCAAGCACCACCCTGCCTGCCTGCGACCGGCTAGCATTCTGTCAAACGACGTTTAGTTCGCACACCAAAGCCTGACGGGAGTGGTACAGTACAAGCCTCTCTTGTGCAAAGAAATCCGGTTCGTACGTTTTGCACTGTACTTGCTTTTTCACGAGGATGATCCATGACTCCATTCCAAAAAAGTTTTTACCCTGCCTCCGCCGTAACTGATGGAGTTACTCCACGCCATTACGTTGAGTGTTGCTTCAGCGATAGAGTAATGCCATACAGTACATGAGGCAACAGCTCAAAAGAAAGCGTGAGAAATGAATGGAGGAGCGTGAAGCGAAGCCACGGCCACGCCAAATCCATGGACCTCGCCGGACCGGAAAGCAGCCCCAGACTTCTAGACGAAGGGCCGGGCAAGCAGCACAGATTGACACGTCGTTTTCTGATCCAACGGTCGCCGTGGTCACCGCCCACCCGGAGTCGGAGCCAGAGCCAGAGGCAGGGGAAGGGGGAAACAGTAACGCCAATGGGAAATCAAATTCAAAATCAGTCCAGTCCAGTCCTCTGCCTCTCCTCTTCCTGCTTCGATTCTGCTCTCCAGCTCACCGCCAGTGCTCTGCGCTGCCCATCACTCAGCCACTGCCGCCGCTGCCTCTGCCTGCCGTGCCACCCTACAAATAAACCCCCGGCATCCCCCTCGTTGTTGCCACGCCGGTTCACTCCCCCCTTCCCTGCCTCCCTCACCCTGCTCCCTCGCTTCAAATCGATTCGGCGCTAGCGAGCGCCGAGCAGCAACGCCAAGGCGGCAGCAGCATCCAGCAACAGCAGCCGCTACCTCCCTTTGTCGAGTTGTCTTCCTCCTCCGGTCCACTCCTGCTTGCTAGAGTGCCTAGCCTCATGAGGACCCAAAAAAGCCTCCTTCCCCTCCTCCTCCTGCTGTCCGCCGCCGCGCTGCTCGCCGTCGCCGACGCGATGGAGCGCAAGAACTACGTGGTTCATCTCGAGCCGAGGGACGACGACGACAGCGGCAGCGCCGGTTCGCTGGAGGAGTGGCACCAGTCCTTCTTGCCGGAGGCCACGCTGGACTCGGCGGCGGATGACGCCCCGAGGATCATCCACTCGTACAGCCACGTGCTGACGGGGTTCGCCGCCCGCCTCACCGACGCGGAGGCGGAGACGCTGCGGAGCAAGGAGGGGTGCCTGCGGCTGTACCCCGAGGAGTTCCTGCCGCTGGCGACCACCCACTCGCCGGGCTTCCTCGGCCTCCACATGGGCAAGGACGGCTTCTGGAGCCGGTCCGGGTTCGGCCGCGGCGTGGTGATTGGGCTCCTCGACACCGGCATCCTGCCCAGCCACCCGTCCTTCAACGACGCCGGGCTGCCGCCGCCGCCCAAGAAGTGGAAGGGCACCTGCCAGTTCAGGTCGATCGCTGGCGGCGGGTGCAGCAACAAGGTCATCGGCGCGCGCGCGTTCGGGAGCGCGGCCATCAACAACACGGCGCCGCCCGTGGACGACGCGGGCCACGGCACGCACACGGCCAGCACGGCGGCGGGCAACTTCGTGCAGAACGCCGACGTGCGCGGCAACGCGCACGGCACGGCGTCCGGGATGGCGCCGCATGCGCACCTGGCCATCTACAAGGTGTGCGCGCGGAGCCGGTGCTCCATCATGGACATCGTCGCCGGGCTCGACGCCGCCGTCAAGGACGGCGTGGACGTGCTCTCCTTCTCCATCAGCGCCACCGACGGCGCGCAGTTCAACTACGACCTCATCGCCATCGCCACGTTCAAGGCCATGGAGCACGGCATCTTCGTCAGCGCCGCGGCTGGCAACGACGGCCCCGCCGCGGGATCCATCACCAACGGCGCGCCGTGGATGCTGACGGTCGCGGCGGGCACCATGGACCGCGCGATACGCACCACCGTGAGGCTCGGCAACGGGCAGGAGTTCGACGGCGAGTCGCTGTTCCAGCCCCGGAACAACACCGCGGGGCGCCCGCTGCCGCTCGTCTTCCCGGGCCGCAACGGCGACCCGGAGGCCCGCGACTGCAGCACGCTGGTGGAGGCCGAGGTGAGGGGCAAGGTGGTGCTGTGCGAGAGCCGCTCCATCACCGAGCACGTCGAGCAGGGGCAGATGGTATCCGCGTACGGCGGCGCCGGCATGATCCTGATGAACAAGGCGGCGGAGGGGTACACCACCTTCGCCGACGCGCACGTGCTGCCGGCGTCGCACGTGAGCTACGCAGCGGGGTCGAAGATCGCGGCGTACGTCAAGTCGACGCCCAAGCCCACGGCGACCATCACATTCCGGGGCACGGTGATGGGCTCGTCCCCGGCGCCGTCCGTGGCCTTCTTCTCGTCGCGCGGGTCGAACAAGGCGGGCCCGAGCATCCTGAAGCTGGACATCACCGGGCCCGGCATGAACATCCTGGTGGCGTGGGCGCCCAGCGAGATGCACCCGCAGTTCGCGGACGACGTGAGCCTCACCTTCTTCATGGAGTCCGGGACGTCGATGTCGACGCCGCACCTGAGCGGCATCGCAGCCATCATCAAGAGCCTGCACCCGAGCTGGTCCCCCGCGGCGATCAAGTCGGCGATCATGACTTCGTCGAACACGGCGGACCACGCGGGCGTGCCGATCAAGGACGAGCAGTACCGGCGGGCGAGCTTCTACAGCATGGGCGCCGGGTACGTGAACCCGTCCCGCGCCGTCGACCCGGGGCTGGTGTACGACCTCGGCGCCGGCGAGTACGTCGCCTACCTCTGCGGCCTGGGCATCGGGGACGACGGCGTGAAGGAGATAACGGGGCGCCGCATCGCCTGCGCCAAGCTGAAGGCCATCACCGAGGCGGAGCTCAACTACCCGTCGCTGGTGGTGAAGCTGATGTCCCATCCGATCACCGTCCGCCGCACCGTGACCAACGTCGGGAAGGCCAACTCTGTCTACACGGCCGTGGTGGACATGCCGAAGGGCGTGTCCGTGGTGGTGCGGCCCCCGATGCTGCGGTTCACCAGGGTGAACGAGAAGCTGAGCTTCACCGTGACGGTGCGGTGGAACGGGCCGCCGGCCGTGGCCGGCGCCGAGGGGAACCTGAAGTGGGTGTCGAGCGAGCACGTCGTCCGGAGCCCGATCGTGATACCGCCGGCCAAGGCCTCCGCGTAGGCGTAGCTTCCCAACTCAAATCTGCTTGACGGTCGGCATGACCGTGCTCGTGTCGTGTCTCCAAGGAAGAAGGTCATCAGTGTTCAGTAGCGGTAGGTAATCATGAGTGTGCCTGGTGTACGTATGGCGAAGGAAGTAGGCAGGCGACCGTTGTATAGGCAGGCAGGGTACCCGATCATCTGTGAAGCAGCAAGCTCAGCTGCAATGGCAATGGCAATGGCAATGGCAATGGCGCGTTCGTTCTGTATGTAAAAATGGCGGAAATAATTAGTCGCTTCGAGAATCCCCAAATGTCTCTCTGTTTGTTGTGTTCCATCTGCTACCACACCCGAACGGGACCTAAGTATCAGTAGCTTACCTATTGCTCCGTCTAGAATTTCCATGGACGGCTAGTACTCCTACTTTGCAGGACGGTTTGGGGTCCTCCGTCCTCGTGACCATGCTACGATGCCAACGCGTCTGGGTTGGCGACTTGGCAAGGGCAAGGCCATAGTAGGCTTTTGATCTCGTTCGGTACCACGGCACTGTCTGTCTTTCCACTTGCACGTTCCACTCCCGCCCAACAAATCGAGCTCTGCTTGTTGCCTTGTTGGAGCCGGAGCTCCAAAGAAGAAGAAGACGACGGCCGTTGCGTCGCTGCCTGCCTGCCTTGATGGGTGCTGCTGACTCGCCAATCGCCATTGCTCCAGTCCACCATTGCTGCCAGCAAGAAACGTCACAGGAGTAATAGCGAGAGGTTGCAGAGGAGAAGAGGCGAGCTCGCGCCATTTACTCAAAGACGCGTCCCCGTCTCCATACGCGTACGTACGAAGGAAGGAGCCGCCATAACTCCCGGTTTGCAGTGCCTGACGAAGGCTCGTCCATTCGCTTTAAGGCGGCAGCATAAACACATCACCTTCCCCTTTCCAGCCTGTAAAAATTCATTCACTTCCTGCGCCGCCGGACGCGCAGCAGCAAGTTTACTGCTGCCGCTGTGTACGTGCAGGCAATTGCTGCGTTCTGATTTCTGAACCTGCCGCATACGGTACACGCACGAGAAGCTCAGAGACGACGACGGACGAGGAGGAGAAGAACAGTTTCATCAGTTTCAGCCGCGCAAGCAGGATCACAGCGGTTTCAACTTTCACGGCCATTAATCGCGGCGCAAAAGCACGTTGACGAGCGGCAACAGGACCTTTCTGTGCGCATTCCAACAGTTAACGACTGCACTGTTCGGGGTTTAATCCGTGCTAGCTCTGCTGGGGGGAACCGCTCTGTTCTCGCTACCACGCATGTGACAGTGTATTTAGTGGCTAACAGCGGCGGAAAATAATAAGTAGGGACGCTGTGGTGGGTGCTACTGCTACCGGGTGTAGTGGTAATGGTAGTAGTACTGAGATCTAGCTTTCCCTCCCTTCATCACCTTTTCACCGGCTTGACCGTAAAGTTGGTTAACGCCATCATAACATAACATGAGCTAGCTGCAATGCTGCATGCACATTAGCCCAACGCGTTCAGGCACGCATTAAGCTCCATCGGCCTTGCATTGCAGGAATATAAACAAGGTTCGCACACACACACAGAAAATGCTCAACTCTCTGCAGCAGCGCCAAAGACGCACACACTGATCGGTGATCACAAGTCTTCAGCTCGAAGGAAGGAAAGAGGATGAGATCAGTAAGAAAGCAACGGCGATTCGGCAGCAAGAGTTGTTATCTTATTCTTCTCATATATTACCCTAATAAAAACTAAAAGGGGCGCAGCATGCCCAGTGCCATGCCACTCCCTAGTGCCGCATTGCAATCGATCATCCGGCGTGGCCGTGACTGTGGGCTACATGGCTGTTCCATGATCACGAGCCAAAGCCAGAAGGGCGGCAAGGACAAGATGAACAGGAGAAGCAGATGAGGTTAGATACACAGTCGCGTTGTGCTCGTTGCGCTGATGACCTGGCCGATTTGCGCGCACGCACGGCGATTTATATATATTTATACTAGCATAGCATAGCAAACATGCTTGGTACCTCCCCAAGTCCCAAATTATAAGTCGTTTTTATTTTTTTACATAAATTTTGCTATGTATATAGATATAACATATGTCTAGATACATAGCCAAATCTATGTACCAAAAAAAAAGTCAAAATGGCTTGTAATTTGGAACGGAGGGAGTATGTTGCAACAGAACATACAAATAGTTGTGTGATATTTGAGTGACCTGGAGCTTGAAGGTTTATGCGATGATCGTGTCATCTGTTACAAACATAATCCAGTATTGAATTTGAGTTATTCTGGCTTTAGATTTAAAAACCTATAGATATTTCCTCTGTATCCAAAAAAATAAGAATAGAAATATCGTCCTGAGAAATCAAATAATTTCAAATTTAATAAAGTTTATAGAAAATATATCAGTATTTATATCTATCTTATAAAGAAAAATATATTTCATGATAATTTAATGACATTTAGGTCTTATTTGGATCTAAAAAATGAAATTGAGGTTGAAAAATGAGGATGATATACTAACACGTTGGATTCTAGAATGAGACTTTAGAATTCAACTATCTACCCCATAGCTACTATTTGAAAATTTTAAAATACAAAGACAATAATCACTATGAGAATAAGATCTAAACATTGCTTGTTTTTTTACTATGAGAATAAGATCTAAACATTCCTCGTTTTTTTATCTGGGATCTAAATTTTACATTCATTATCTAAAATCTAAAATCTTACTATGAGAATAAGATACAAAAAAACTCGTATATCATAAATGTTAATACTTTCTATTATTTAATACTAAAATTTAAAATGACTTGACTCATCATAGCATAGGAAGGTAAGTTTTCGGTTCTTTTTAGAACAGAGGTATTATATAGTATATAAAAAAAAAGAAAAGGCGCTGGATCTGGGAAGAGGGGCTCCGTAGTTTTCTTTCACGGAAAGGTCACATCCCGATCCTTTGCTGACGGCATCTACCAAAAGTTACTACCACGCATGGAAACGGGGCGTGAAGCCAGTGAGCCACGCTGCTCGAATGTATATGCTTAACACGTTCTATCTTCACAGTTGAATATTGCTTTGAGATTCGTGCTGCTCACTCTTCCCAATGCTTCACCCTACTCTCTCCAATGCTTCACACTGCTGATTGAGAAGGCACAAATCTCAATGTGGTGTTTGGATGGGCAGGATAGCACATGCTCAACATGTATAAAAAAAATGCTTTCCACGCTGCTCGGTGCTTGCGTTCGCGCTTGCGTCAGCTGCCGTTTCGTGCTCGGACATGTCGCTTTGAGCGTGCACGATCATGTCGGACACCTCACTCACACTCACCTTGCCACCCTATCATAGTCCCAGGAGGCACAAGCACTGCACTAGCCGCTGGATACACAGGGCGTGCTTAGTGGCTTTTTGAACACCAGATGAGTGATGACAATGAGTGTTGTTTAGAGAGAGAGAGAAAAAAAACAGCAAAGGCTGCTGGGCCTGGGCTTGCATGGTCGGCCTTCGGCCAGGTGCACAGCGAGGTCAACGAGTCAGCGAGATCACGAGGTGCACACTGCACAGCTCACACGCGAGTGTGTGAGTGAGGCCTGGTTTACTCTGTTACCTAAAGTTTACTTCATATCCCATCAAATAATTTAGACACATATATAGAGTATTAAATATAAATTAAAAATAACTAATTATATAATTTGTGATTAATTTACGAGATGAATCTTTTAAGTCTAATTAGTTCATAATTTAACAATGTGGTGCTACAGTAACACATGCACTAATAATGGATTAATTAGGCTTAATAAATTCGTCTAGTGGATTACTGATAGATTCTGTAATTTATTTTTTATTAGTATCCAAACACTCCATACGACACCTTCATGTGACACTCGATGTGACACTCCTGAATTTAAACAAGCCCTGAATAGCCCGTTCGCTTGTCTTATAATCCATACTTTTCAATTTATTTTTTTAGCCGAAACAGTATTTTTTCCTCTTAACAAATCAGGTGAAATAGTATTTCGGCTCGTTTTTTCAGCGAAGCAAATGAGGCCAACGAGTGATAACGAACGAAACGGACCTCGAGCGCCTTTCGAGCAGACAGCAGAGGCCGCCGGGCACTGGATGCCAGGAACAGCCGAACAGACTGAGGCAAATGCAGTGCAATGCAATCAAGTAGCGAGTACTACACAAGAGGACGTCCGACTGTTTAGTATGTTCGCTCGTTGTCTAACTAACGATATTTTTTTCTTACAATAAATCAGTATCAGTCGACCTTATCAATCTAAAAACTAACCAACGAACAAACCGATTGTGCGTGGATGCATACTTCATGCTTGGCTTTGGCGGTTTGGCCTGTCCTCCTCCCGCAGAATCTCCACACGCTTGGGACATGGGGGCTGCCCGGCTGGGGCGATGGCTGATCTGGCGAGGTTGAGAGGCGGGGGCGGCTCCCCGTCTCCGTCACCGTCTCCACAGGCTGCAGTGCAGGCAGCTAACTAACAGTGTTTTTCTCTTACAACAAATCAGTATCAGTCGACCTTATCAGTCTAAAAACTAACCAACGAACAGACCGATTGTGCGTGGATGCATACTTCATGCTTGGCTTTGGCGGTTTGGCCTGTCCTCCTCCCGCAGAATCTCCACACGCTTGGGACATGGGGGCTGGCCGGCTGGGGCGATGGCTGATCTGGCGAGGTTGAGAGGCGGGGGCGGCTCCCCGTCTCCGTCACCGTCTCCACAGGCTGCAGTGCAGGCGGCCTGGACTGGGGCTGGACCACGGAGGCACAGCAACAGCAACAGCGACGCACGCTCCTGGCCCGTACCCGGCCGCACAATTGCAGTTCATGCTGGAGGTGGAGAGAAAGAAAAAAAAAGACTCTTGCTACAGTACAACACAGTGTGCTACAGGGTTTTGCAGCAGAAGGTGAAGCATGTGTGAGCCGCACCAAAGAGAGCCTCCCACTCTGTAGCCACCATCATCGGAGTCGGAGACACGAGCCCTAAATTGTAGCTCCATCTCTATATGCAAAAAAAAATGACTCTAGCTCCTCTGCCATATGTCCAAAATAACTCGTCTTCTAGATGTTTAGTGTGGCTCCATTCGCTTCGATGTCGATATTGCGACCGAAGCGATACCAAATAAGATCTTAATAGTCTACTCCCTCTCTCCCATAATAGAAAGCACGCCTAGATTTTGGGTGTGTGTGGGGGGGGGGGGGCTAGGTACTGTAGATAGAAAATTACGTTGCAAAAGGTCTAACACTTGTGGCAGGCGGGTAAACTTATGGCTGGTACTCCGACTGCTTGTCTGAATCGGGTCTATCGATGGATAGTGTTGTATGTCTTTTTCTTGAGCATTTGTTTTGGGATAATATTTGAACTCTAGAGGTGCAAATTATTTGGGATGTTGGGAGTAGGAGCTGGTGAAACCACTTTTATCTAATTTCACCAGCAGACCAGCTCCTTAGCAACAAGCCAGAGCTGTAGGAAACCCTGCCAAATGAGTCCTAGTTTGCAAAGCAGGTTGGGCCTTGAGAGCCCATATAGGTTAGGCCCAGTCATGACGGAGGCCTTGAGGGCTTTGGAGCCCATGGATCGAACTGAACGGAGCGTCATTTGCCCAGTTCGCGGCCACTCTTCGGCTCAACCGCTCCCAGTCCCAGGCTCCCCTCCAATTCAGGGGAAGCGGCCGACCCGCGAGACGACGAACCGGGTAACCGGGAGCGGGACGAGAGGAGAGGAGGCATGCACATGCACGCCCGCTCGCGCGGGAGGGAAGGAGGGTGACGACTGACGAGGCCACCACCACACAGCAGGAGCGGAACCGTGCCATCGGATCGAGGCAGGCGCACGGACGATGCCCCAGGACGACGACGAGAGCATCGCCTGGGTGCTGCATGGCGCCGCTGGGGACGACGCGCCGGCGGTGCTGCTGCACGGCAGCCTGGACATCTGGATCCACGAGGCGCGGAACCTGCCCAACAAGGACATCCTGTCCAAGAGGATGCGGGACCTGCTGTGCAAGCCGTCGGAGGGTATGACCAGCGACCCCTACGTGACGGTGCAGGTCGCCTCCGCCGTGGTGGCGCGCACCTTCGTCATCCCCGACGACGAGAACCCCGTGTGGGCGCAGCAGTTCCTGGTGCCCGTCGCGCACGAGGCCGCCGCCGTCAACTTCGTCGTCAAGGACAGCGACGTCGTGGGCGCGGAGCTCATCGGCGTCGTCGCCGTCCGCGCCGACCGGCTGCAGGCCGGGGACAGGGTCGAGGGCGCGTACCCGGTCCTCGAGAGCAACGGCAAGGAGTGCGCGCCGGGGGCCGTGCTCCGGCTGTCGGTGCAGTACGTGCCCGTGGCGAGGCTCACCATGTACCACCACGGCGTCACCCCGGGCCCGGACTTCGCCGGCGTGCCCAGGACCTACTTCCCGCTGCGCCGGGGCGGGAAGGTCACGCTGTACCAGGACGCGCACGTGCCCGACGGCACGCTGCCGGAGGTCAGTCTCGGGAACGGCGCCTGCTACCAGCACGGCCAGTGCTGGCGCGACGTCTACGACGCCATATCCCAGGCACGGAGGCTCATCTACATCACCGGATGGTCCGTGTTCCACACCATCCACCTGGTGCGCGACGGACACGGGGACATGGCGCTCGGCGACCTGCTCAGGAGGAAGTCGCAGGAGGGGGTGCGGGTGCTGCTGCTCGTGTGGGACGATCCCACGTCCCGGAGCGTCCTCGGCATCAAGATGGTACGCCGTACGCATGGTTCACCGGGCGGCTCCAAACGCTTGACAAGAATTTGTTTCTTCAAATTTGATCTCTGTCCCAGATTTCATTCGGGATCTCATAGAGGAAAAAAAATTTACGGACAAGACATACAGTCGATGTAAAATGTGGCAATATGCCATGCTGACATGCTGTTGTATAAAACGAACAAAGCCTGTTTGCTTATTGGATTCTTACCTGTAGGAAGGTTACATGGGCACGAGGGATGAGGAGACTCGGAGATTCTTCAAGCACTCTTCGGTTCAGATACTGCTTTGCCCACGATCTGCTGGGAAAAGGCACAGCTGGGTGAAGCAACAGGTCTTATACTAGAGCATAACTATACATTCTAATGACCACATAAAATTAAGGATATCTCCCTCTCCATCCTATGTTTACCTGCAGCCATATTATCTGGGGTGTGCACTGATGGTAACCATTGGTTCCAGGAAACAGGCACTATCTTTACTCATCATCAGAAAACAGTGATCTTGGATGCTGATGCTGGGAATCATAAAAGGAAGATTGTTGCTTTTGTAGGAGGCCTTGATTTATGTGGAGGGCGGTATGATACACCAAGACACACTCTATTTCGGACTCTTCAGACATTTCACAAGGAAGATTATTACAACCCGAATTTTGCGGTGGGTCTAATTTTGCACATGTATTGTATCAAACTGATTTAGTTGAGAACCTTATGCAGTGACCAGAAAAAGAATTCCTTCCTTGTTGTCTTGGAACTTTCCTCCATTTTTTTTTCCTTTTAGGAGACAGGAAACCTGTCGCAATTTGTTACATCCTCATGTGCCAACCATTTACTCGCAGGTTGAAGATGCTCGTGGCCCAAGAGAGCCATGGCATGACTTGCATTCCAAGATCGATGGTCCAGCAGCATATGATGTCCTGAAAAACTTTGAGGAGCGTTGGTTAAAGGCATCAAAGCGCAGTGGCGCTAAGAAACTGTCAAAATTGTCGAGATCGCATAATGATACGCTGCTCTGGATTGAAAAGATACCTGATATTATAGCTGTTGACGACGAAATCTATTCAAATGACAATGATCCAGAGAGATGGGATGTGCAGGTAAGTCCGGCAAAGTGCTCCATAAATCACTGCAAATAAAAAATTATGTCATTCATGGTGGAACCCTGAGCAAATTTTACTTGGAAAGCAGATTTTTCGATCAATTGATTCGAATTCTGTCAAGGGGTTTCCAAAAGATCCACGGGAGGCCACTAGTAAGGTAAATGTACTAGATTATACCTATGTTGACCACATATGCAGTGCTTCACTGCTTGTACTTAATACAAACTTTTGCTTTGATTAACAGAATCTTGTTTGTGGGAAAAATGTACTGATTGATATGAGCGTGCATACAGCATATGTGAATGCCATCCGAGGTGCTCAACATTTCATCTACATTGAGAACCAGTACTTCCTTGGCTCTTCATTTAATTGGGATTCACATAAAGATGTTGGTGAGCATAAAAATCCACTTTTCCCTTCTGAATATCTGAAGTTTCAAGCATGTATTTGGATCCCTCACACCCCAATGGCACTCTCTTGCATTCAGTAGTCCAAATTGTGTTGATCCCCTCATTTTCCCAAATAACACCAGAAACAAAGTAATTAATTAAAGTACTACAAAATTCAGGACTCTGAAGTACAGTACATTGCAGGTGCTAATAATCTGATACCCATTGAGATAGCACTCAAAATTGCAAACAAGATTTATTCGAATGAGAGATTTTCAGCTTATATAGTAGTTCCAATGTGGCCTGAGGGTAATCCTACTGGTACTCCTACGCAAAGGATTCTCTATTGGCAGGTTAGGTCTTACAACCCTTCTATTGTCTGTGTTACAATATGACTTGTATTAGGATTAGGATTGTTTCCTTGTTTAGGAGCAGTGAATTATCTATTCTGTAAACCTTTAGTCGTGCGCCTCCCTCTGCAGCGAGAAAATTGGAAATTTTGCCATTTTCCATATATAAACTCCTTTTGAAACAGCATAGGAACTTATCTCATGTAACTCATTTTTCTTCCTTTTACAATTGTAGAAAAAGACAATGCAAATGATGTATGATATAATCTATAAGGCCTTGAAAGAAGTAGGACTAGATGGTACATATGAGCCGCAGGATTACCTGAATTTTTTCTGCCTTGGTAACCGCGAAGCTGAGGACACTACTTGCACTTCTGGTGGACCATTCTCAGCCAGTAACCCTCAGGTTAGACTCCAGACTGTTGTTCTGTTTTCTGCAGCTGATTGCGGCACACTTTAGAAATGCCCAAAACTGAAGGATGTACTGATTTCCGAAAAAAAAAATACAATTATGCTGCAACTTGGATATCCAATCAGGACCAAGCTCGGAAGAATAGGAGATTCATGGTGTATGTGCACTCGAAAGGCATGATTGTGGATGATGAATATGTGATCATTGGGTCTGCTAACATCAACCAGAGATCCATGGAAGGAACTAGAGATACAGAGATTGCAATGGCTGCATACCAACCCCAGCACACATGGGCAAATACGCTTTCTGCTCCTCGTGGACAGGTAATATTCAGTTCTGATAAGTTGGTAACTTGGTATTGCAGTACTGCCGTAGTTATCTTGTGTACCATATTTTCTGTGGCAAAATGACAAAAAAAGAAGTTCATATCACAATTCGAGTTGTGTTATTTTCCTTTCAAGAACACTTAGGAGATTTTTTTTTCGGTAATACATAGCAGAGCTACGTATGTTTTCATTAAGAAGAAAATGGAGTTTACAATGCAGGCCAAGCGAGTGGCACACACATTTCCCGCTTACAGAAATGGGACTATACATTAAACTAGCAATACCCAGAAAGAGATCCTAGCGCTAAATGCTAAACAAAACTAACTCACCAGCCAACACCGTACGATCCTATGGAGGCAACGCAGGAGACTAGTGTATTTTCATATAGAGACAAATGGGTTTTGCTAATCTGGTGTGCTTTCACCTGCAGATTTTCGGTTACAGGATGTCTCTATGGGCAGAGCACATCGGATCCATCGAGGAGAGCTTCGCCAGGCCGGAGAGTCTAGAGTGCACGAGGCAGGTGCGGCACATCGGAGAGCAGAACTGGGAGAAATTCATCTCCAGCCATGTGACTGAGATGAAGGGCCACCTGCTCAAGTACCCCGTCAGCATCGATTCCAGGGGCAAGGTGAATCCTCTGTCTGGTTGTGCCACATTCCCAGATCTTGGTGGGAACATCTGCGGCTCATTCCTGAACATCCAAGAAAACCTCACAATATGAGCAGAGCTTATAGGTTACCCAAGTCACTGCGGGTGACATTGACCCACTCCTTCAGCATTGTGTCAGCAGAAAAGAAAATTACATGCCTCCTTCTGGATTGATTCAAGAGATCACCTAGCTTTCTGTAGGAAGGTCAACACCAGAGATTAATAGGTTAGTACTTTGTAACCAACAGCAGTGTCACCAAATGGTTCGTCAGTTCAGTTCCATAAATTGTGCATGAACACATTATTGGACTTTTTTGAAAGGTAAACAATAGTGGATCTGGCTCTATACTTTTCTCTGTAACATAAACAAGAATTGTAGCTCACCTCCAGGTGTGCTACTACTTACAATTGTCTTGACATATATATAATGGAAAGAAATATCCAGCTTCGTCCTCTGGAACGAGGAATCAGACCACCTTATCATAAAAATAACGCAACAATGACCCAATCGAGTTTACCAAAGAAATTTGAGATTTTCAGAATTGCCTAAGCGCATTTCGAAGGAGTAGCTCAAATATGTTAGTGATCAGTTAAATAACCAATCTGCTGAATTTCGCAAGCACTGTAGTAGCAGCAGGAATTCAAAATAGGGGGAAGCGGTAGTCAATAGAGCGAGATAATCACCTGCAGACGCCCACCGGGCCAAGTTTTTCTTTAACCCGTCTTTGGCACCGCAATCGGCCATCTCCAGCCACGCTCACCGGGCGAACCTCTGACTTCCGCCACTACCAGGAACCGGGAACAAGCACCGATTTCCCCACTGATCCAGTCATCCGCTGCGGAGCAACGCCACGTAGCCAACCCCAACCTCCGTTTCTTCACCATGAGTTGCGCACTGGTGCATCGAGATTGGGGAACGAAGCTGCCGCATCGGCGCAGCGTGTGAGGAGGCCGGCGAGGAGGAGGGACACGGCGGCGGCGGGGCCCGGAGTAATAGGGCGTCGCGACAAGTGATATCCAATAGGGAAGGTGGGAGGCGAGGCCGCGAAAGGAGGAGAAGCCCATCGACGACGGCGGGGCGGCGGACGACTGCCGCCACCCTCGCCGTCAAGCCTCGGGAGTCGGGGAGAAAATGGTGATTCTGCCATTACGAAAACTGGGTTTCGCAATTTTGCCATCCCGCAAATGGGATTCGCCCGTTTGTCATTCTCAAACGATACACACCCGCAAATATGCCCTGTGAAGGATTTGTTGCCAAATTAATTTTTTTTTACCATGGCAAACTTGCCTACCCGTTTTGCCCCTCCCTGATGCATCACGGAGGCCTTCTCTTCATTCACGGAGACTCACGAACCGCAAGACGGATACTGAGCAGCGCCGCCGAGTCAAGCGAGGAGAGAGGAGCGGATCCCGCAACGCCACCAGCAAGCAAAGCTTCGGCGGGCCGAACGCAAAGAACGGCGGCGGCAGCGGCAGCAGCGAGGCACGTCCGCGGTTTCAAGCCCAAGAAGGATCTCCAGATCAATCGCCTCAAGCCGGTTGCTCAAGTGGTGGCCCTCCCTCCCGACCAGATCTCTTCCAATGATACGTATTCTTGCTTTCTTTGGTAATATAAGCGTGCCCAAGCGTGTAGATGAGACTCGACAAGTGTAGATGTGGTGGTAATCTAACTGTGCCACCTTTTTATTTCTTTAGTAGGCTCGATGGGGAGTTTGACCTTAGCTTAGCACTGGTAGAACCTCCTGCACAGCAAATGCAGGCACCTCTTGTTGATTGGGATAGCCTACGCATCGAGGACAATCGAGATGAAGAGGGAAAAATTGAGATTGTTGATGATGAGGTGATGTATGAGCTGTTGGGGTTTAGGGCTGACGATGAGGAGGGTGATAAGGCAAGAAAGCGACCAAGATAAAGCTAGCAATCAATGTAAGCGCCGATACTTATCGAGGATGAAGAAATTGATACAATCGAGGCGATCATTGAAGTTGATGACTATTTACCAGGGGAGAGGACTGTGGTGCACGATCCAAATCGGCCCAATATGGATCTTGGCACAGTTTATTCTAACATGAAGGAGTTTAGATTGGCGGTGAGACAATTTGCTATAAATAAAGAGTTTGAACTACGCGTTGTCTGAACTACGCGTTGTCAAAACAGATCCTGAAAGATATATTGGAGGTTGCAAGGGGGGAGAAGATTGTCCTTGGCATCTTGTTGGGCGTAGACAGCCTGATGGGTGCACCGTTATGGTACTAACTTTCATTTTGCGTTCCATTAATTTTTTCCCTTCAATAATTTTAAGTCTGCCAATGTTTTTTTGCCCTTCTATATTAGTTGCCTTGACTAATTTTGTTGTTGTTGCAGGTGACGGTGGTTGTTGATAAGCATACATGTGAATCAAGTGCTAGGAGGAAGACTACCACACCAACCAGTGCTTGGGTTGCTTCAAAGGCAATACATCACCTTAGGAAGAAAGCACTTGACTATGGGCCCTAAGGGCGCAAAAAACTTTCAGGATGACCACAAGTGTATAATTCATTATGATACTATTTGTAGAGGTAGGCAAATTGTTTTGAGAGAATTGTATGGCAAATGGGAAGAGAGCTTTCAGCTGCTATTCAATTGGAGGGCAGATGTCCTGAAGAGGTGTCCAGGTAGTGTTATTGAGATTGGCATCAAGGAGGTAGATGGCAATTTCTATTTCCATAGATTTTTTGTGCATTGAAACCTTGCATTGAAGGTTTTTTAGAAGGATGCAGGCCATACCTTAGCATAGACTCTACTGCACTTAATGGTAGATGGAATGGTCATTTAGCTGCAGCTTGTGGTATAGATGGTCACAACTAGATGTACCCAGTTGCTTTTGGGTTCATTGATGGTGAGACAACAGATAACTGGACTTGGTTTATGACTCAGTTGCACAAGGCCATAGGAGATCTTCCTGTTTTAGCTATTTCGTCAGATGCGTGCAAAGGTCTAGAAAATACAGTTAAGAATGTGTTTCCGCAGGCTGAACATAGGGAGTGCTTTAGACATCTAATGAATAATTTCATTAAAAGGTTTGGTGGTGATGTATTCTCTAAGATGTATCCTGCAGCTAGAGCTTATAGAGAATCAGTTTTCAATTATTTTTACAAGTCAGTCATTGATGCTAGTCCTCAAGTGTTGGTTTGGATAGAGGCTCACCATTACAAGCTTTGGATGAGATCTAGCTTCAATCCTGAGATTAAATGTGATTATATCACTAATAACCTTGCTGAAGTGTTCAACAATTGGATCAGGAATTGGAAAGACCTTCCTGTTGTTGAGCTTGCAGACAAACTCAGAGAGATGATTATGGTGCTATGGGTGAAAAGGAGAAAAATTTCAGAAAGGCTTACTGGAAAGATCCTCCCAGCAGTGATACAACAGTTGAAAGCCAGAACTAGAGGACTTGGACACTTGACTGTTATAGATGGTGGAAGTGCTGCAGCTGAAATTTGGGACACCACAAACACTCGCAGTAGACATGTTGTTAAGTCTTCTCTATATGAGTGCACCTGTCTTGAGTGGCAGCATATTGGTAAGCCTTGTCAGCATGCTTTGGCTTTGATTACAAGTGTACAGTCTAGTAATGTACATATGGAGGACTTTGTGCATGAGTATTACTCTGTTGAGAGGTTCAGGGCAGCTTATAAGAGACTTATAGAGCCATTGCCTGATAGAACACAGTGGCCAGATGTTGATTTGCCTTTTGGGGTTAGGGCACCACTTGACAAGAGGGCTGCTGGACGGTACAGAAAACTTAGGATCAAAAGCTACCTTGAAGGTGGTGGTAGCAAAGGAAAGAAGGCAGCCAAGGAAGCAGCAAATGAGGCAGATAAACAAGCTGCAAATGAGGTAGAAAAGGGCAAGAAAAAAATGATTAGAGGCAAAAGAAAGTGCAAAAGATGTGGAGAATTAGGTCATGGTGAAACAAGCTACAAATGCCATCTTAATGGGACTAAGAAATGGTAAGACCCAACTATATGTACTTGCTGCCATGACTTGTTTTGCTAACTAAATTAAATACTTTTTTGTCCAAACTTGCAGGAGAATAAAGCCAAGAAAAAATACAACAAAGTATGGTGAGAATGCAAAAATCCCAACAAAGAGAGCAAAGAAGGGAGGGAAATCTCAGGATACTGCTACTCAGATGCTTTCCCAAATTAAAGTACCAAGAAATGCTTTCCATGACCAAGAAATCGCACCACCAGCCTCAGATGATTTGCATGCTTTAGAAATTAAAGTACCGGCCCCAGATGCTTCTCTCCATGACCAAAAAATGCCTACACCAGCCCCAAATACACTCACCAGCCCCACAAAGCTCACAAGGGACCAGATCATACAGAACAGTCCCAATAGGGTTACAAGAGGGTATGCTACACATTAATTCTCATTCTTTTATACTTATATATTGCTTTCATACAAGTGACTCATAGTGCTACTTTTATTGCAGCCAACTGCAAAACCTGCTAGCTGAAGGTGTCTCACCAGACAAGACAGTGCAAAAGAGGAGCCCACCAAAAAAACTCAAGCCAAGAAAACTGAAAACCAATTGAAAGTTTCAGTCTGGAATGTTATGTCCATCATGAAATTGTAACTTAAATTGTATCTGGACATGTATCTCCATCATGAGAATAGAGATCTCTATGAAAATGTATCTCTGGGCATGTATCTGGACCTTATTTAATTTATTTGGACCTATGTTATTGCAACTTAAATGCTACCTATGTTGAATTTATCTGGACATGTACTTTGCTGGAATGTTATTGTGATCATGAAATTGTGTCAAAATTATGTCCAAATTCTATTGAAATTCTATCCAAATTCAAGTAAAATTATGTCAAAATTCTGCATAAAATAAGTCAAAAATACAGGTCGATTCCAGAAAAACATCTTCATTTCATAGGACTTAGATGTCATTACAATACATTCTACAAATCAGTTACTAAACAGACCACCACCAGAAGTCGTATCCCACACTTCTAGAACACAGTTACTAAACAACTTCACTTGTTAATAAGTACTACCACACCTAAAAGAACTAGGACTGCAATTAGTAAACACAGCACCACCAACAGCTGCACCAGAACGATAAGCTTGTCCATCTTAAGATCCATCCTCTCTTCCTCGTAAATCCTGCAATTAGGCTTCATTTCGACCAAGGCTTTAGTTTCACCATGACCTTCGTATGCTACTGCAGCTTGCATTTCTTCTTTTCGTTTCTTTTCCATGTCTTCTTTAATCTTCTTCGCAACTACTTTCTTATAAGCATCAATCCACCTAAAGAATGGACATTTCTTCACTGCCTGTGGAAATGATAATACATAACACAAACTATTTATCCAAATCTTGACACAGTACCTAGTTCATCCATTTCTATATGACAAAAACAGATCATTATATACTCACAAATTCATCGTAGTTTACGCATTTGAAGAAAATTTTGCCGTTGTTCTTCCAGGATTTGCATTCAACTACTTTATCACCACATTCTGGACATGGAATAAGGGAGATCCTGCTAGGGCCAGGTGGATACAGAGAAAGGGCAGCTGTTGGGATGAACGACGAACTAGATGAAGCCTCACCCATATCTAGCGTCGGGGCAGCGGCGGCGTCCTGGCGCGGACGCGTCGGGGCGGTGGGAGCGGCCTGGCGCGGACGTGGCGGCGGCCTAGCGCGGAGGCCGTGGCTGGGAAGGAAAGGGCCGAGGAGGTGGGCCGCTGTCGGCCGTCGGCGGCATCGGCTGCGGTGGAGCAGTTCCCTCTGTTCGTCTTCGTCTCGTCTCTCTCCCGTCCTCTCCGTGCTCTCTCTCCCGTGAAGATACGGTGAATGAAAAGGAACGAAGGGATAAGGCTCAGGGGCAAAACGGGAAGAAAAAGATGCCGCAACGAAAAAAAATTAATTTGGCAATAAATCCTCCACAGGGCATATTTGTGGGTGTATATCGTTTGAGAATGACAAACAAACGAATTTTATTTGCGGGATGGTAAAATTGCGAAGGCCAGTTTTTTTAATGGCAGAATCACCATTTTCTCGGAGTCGGGAGCGCGAGCGCGAGCGCGAGGTGCTTGTTCCTTATTTAATCGCGACCCGATTTATTCCGAGGGCTCTATTTGCAAAATCCATTGAACCCAGTGGCCCAGGCCCAGTCGAGGGCTCGGCCCAGTCAGCCTTCTCCGTCTCTGATGCCACCGAACCGCAAGAGGCGAGCAGCAGCCATGGATCCCGCGGCAGGAGGCGCCGGCCAACAGCGCCAGAGCAAAGCTTCGGCGGGCAAGAAGGCAAAGAAGGGCGGCGGCAGCGGCAGCGGCAGCGGTGGGAGATGGCCCGCGGTCAAGCCCAAGAAGGATCTCCAGATCAATCGCCTCAAGGGCACACACCTCCTCACCGTAAGCCCTCCCTCCCGGCTCCTGGGAATCCCTATCCACTTTCCATAATGAGCAGTTGCTAGGATTGAAGCCGCAAAGAAGCAGCCATGATTACACGGCCATCCTTGATTTTGATGGCGTCTCTTTTTTCTGGGATTAGAGAATCTTGATTTGAGCTAGCTAGACAAGCAAGTATGTTTTCTGCAAAGTTGTTCTCGGTATGGAAACGCCAATCATGGTAGACCACTATGGCCTCCTGAATTCCTGATAAGAATGACCTTTGGAAGTAGACGCCATCTCTGATGGCATGCTATTCGATTGAAAAGAATTTCTGCCAAAGAGTATCATAGGCTTTGTTAAAAAGAAGAGTTGTTAATTGTCACGGCAACTGATTAGGTTTAACTTAACCTGATCCAGTCTCTTCTGAGCAGTTGTCAACTTGTTATAGATTCCGGACTTCTTCACTTCCGCCGAGGCTAAGGCTTTCATTGATGTCGCTGAGTGCATGGGCTTCACGCACCAGGGCAGTTTGGGGCCACTAAAGGGGGAGGCTTACAGAGACAACGATCGGATATCTGTAACAGATCCATTGCTTGCTCAAGCCATTTGGGAATCAGGAATAAACAGAACTTTTACAGACATCAGCATCTCTGGCAAAGTAGCAACAGGATTGAATCCAAATATCAGGTTCTACAGGTATGTACTGTTAGAAGTTGAGCAGTGATCTGCTGCTCGGCTACGCGACAACCATATTGTTACAAAGCTTGAATCGTGAATGGTATCAAATACTGATTTTTGTTGCGTACAGGTACACTGAAGGTCAGCGCTTTGGTCGGCATATCGATGAGAGTGTTGACCTTGGGGATGGTTCTAAAACATATTATACGCTTTTAATATACCTTTCTGGCAAAGGAAGTGCAAAGGATTCATCTGGACAAGCTCTTGTTGGAGGGGAGACTGTCTTTTATGATCAAAGAGGTGGAGTTGTTGCTGAGGTACTTCCTGGTTCCGAAATCCTCATCTCTTTAGAATCATATCGAGTTTCTCTGATTGTTACATCCAAAGAAAATCTTTTGTGGAGAACTTGTACTAAAAAAGGGCGTACCCAGTGCAGAGAGCTCCCGCTCTGTGCGGGGTCTGGGGAAGGGTGTCAGTGGCAAGCCTTACCCTCGCCTGTGCAATGCGAGGAGACCGCGACTCGAACCCGGCTGTTGGTAATTAAATGAATTTTATCTTGTGTCTGGTTTCTCACTCATGCCTTTGGAGGCAAAGTGGATTATATGCACTGCCATCCAGTTTGTGGTCTGGATTGGGGCAATTATGCCCTAGAGAAAGTATCAGCTAAGGAATCTGTCATGCACATGACAGCTATATGAGTCTTTCTTGCACTTCAGAACTTCATGTAGATTATAGACTAGTCACCAGTCATCCATAATCATGTGATTTCCCACTGTAAAAGTTTGGAAAGGTACCTGGTGGTGAAACAACATTGCATGACCCTATCCTATATATATATGACCGGTTGGTATAGTGCCACACATTAGAATGATCCTAATCTGAGGCTACTGCGTGATAGGTTGCTCCGGTGCAAGGAATGGCACTCCTCCACCTACATGGCGCCAAATGTATGCTGCATGAAGCCCGGGTTGTGAAAAAGAATGCCAAGTATGTACTCCGTTCAGATGTTGTATTTTCTTAGCTGAAGAATTGCCTCAACTTGTTTCAGATCAACCCGCCGTTAGGGCATAATGGATCTGGGGCTGGGAAGTACTTCTAGTTACTTTCCCATTTTGTAAGTTGTGATACAAGGGTCCTGTAACCTTTCCACTGTTGGAAGTGATTCTTTTGACATCAGAATCCTTTTCTATTATCTGTTGATGCATTTGTTGTTGCTCAAGTGCAAAAGAAGAGTCATTCTATTGTAGTCTTGGTAGCGGCAAACGTTGGCTACAGCTGGTACTGTTTACTGCAGTTTCAGTTCCTCGTCGTGCTATCTGTGACGTCTTGAAGCCAAACAAATTGCTTGCAGTTTTGGTAGCCCGCACAATCAGAACAAATTATGAGCAAAACTTCAACCATTTTTCATGACGTCTCTAGTAATAATAAGCAAAGTACAATCTTATATTAACCAAAAAACTAAAAAGCTTTAGAACTTGCATCGTACAGGACAACAAATTCCAGGTTTCAACGTAACCAAATAAGAATTTCTGAAACGCTGCGTAGTGGTAGACTAGCGATGGCACCATGTTTGCCTAGACTAATTGATATATACATAATGGAAATTCTGGAAGCTGTAATCTATTGAAGGCATAAAACTAAATTTTCCACACAGGAAGGACCAAATGTTTACCGCCCATCCAAGTTTTCAACAAATTTTAGTTTTACAAGACCACCAACCACATACTTTCCTATAACTGCTTTGCTTACAACGAATTACTTCTCTCAAAATTCAAATAACTCTTGTGGCGAAATTCTGGTTTCTCAATCATAACGACCATATGTACATATGACCTCTTCATCATTGGAGTACATTGCAGACCAAAAGGTAGCACATGTATTCTTAGCCACAGCATCAACATAACTTTGATTCTGGCAGTGCCTCTAGTCAGAGTTCAAGTCTGCAAAACGAATTATGCAGTCAGTCAATCAGTCAGATAACACTGCTGCTGTCACATTGCAATGCAGCAGTATAACCAATTTAATGACAAAATGCAGCAGGTTATACTCAAAATTACAAATACTGAGATTTGTTAACACAGTTTTATGCAACCACAGTCCAAGACATCGGTATGTTTTTGGTCAAATTATCAATTTATGAGTCATAGGGAAGGCAGAAAGAAAAGCTCATCTACAACTCAACTATATGTCTATATTCGCGCGAAATGATGAGCAAAGAGCTTACAACTAGATAGTAGATAACAATTAAGAATAAACACAACTCGATGCAACTGCAGTGTAACCTAGATTTCAAATACTATAATACAATGCTCTTGATAAACAATTAAACAAATTGCACAATGAACCAGTTATTTAGTTTAACAAGCATTTAGGATAATAAGACGTGGATATTACAAATGCAGTTATTTATAAATATCCAATCCAAACTTATTTTATTTAGATCAGGTAATACTTACATCAGAAGTATTGACCAGTTTTGGACGACCTGTTTCCTTGTCTATCTCCACCTTGAGACCTATGTTAGCAATCTCTGGAGTTATAACAGGTTCTTGCATCTCAAGTTCAGAAACCTCCTTCTGATTTTCTTCATTTTCTTCAAGCAAGTTCTTAACAGCCAGCAGACCCCACTCCCTCAAGTATGGATTATCTTCATCGATGACACACTGCTGCAGCAGCAACATGATCCCACCTAACTGCCTAATCTCATCCTGCACCTTCTTCCTTCCATGTAAGCAATTAGCAATGACCGCAACCAAATCTCTCCTGTAACCAATGTATGGGCAGACCTTTGCATTTTCAAGAGCTGGATGGTTATCTCCTTGTCCTCCTGCCATTGATTTTCTGATTGTACTTGGTGGCTCAAGCTCACCTAGGTATCTCAGAAGGCGCTTTACAAAGCCAGTCTGTAATAGTGAGTCAACAGGGCGTTGAGTATCTGATGAGGTGGATTCCCAGGCACAGATGTCCCTCAGGAGCTGCAGTGTATATCCAAGGACATCGATTGCAGGATTCCCAGTTGGAAGAGGGGAGGTACCTCGGTGAACAAAATTCACAGTTTCGGCAGCATGCTTGTGTAGATTGAAAACATCATGTGCAAAACTGTCCGAGACAGTAACTTCTTTGGGATGGCTGTTCAAACACCTTGCCAGCATACCCAGAAGAAAAACATGCTTAGCAATATACTCGTCACTGTCTGTGCGCTCAACATCATTAGTGGAGCATAAGGTATAGAACAAGCTCTCAAACTTCTGCTCCTCAACAGAGACTTTGAACAGAAGCCACTCTAACCACTCTTCCTTGTGCCCCACTGCAATACATAATTCTGGTTAGGGTCATATACAGCTCTGAACTTGTACAGACAAAACAACAGAGGAACTTGTATAACAGCCTAATAAATCCCAGTGGTGAAGACTACTGCACATTGCAACAAAATAACCAGAAGATTTTTCTTGTCATTAGATATATATAAGCAAAAAGTATGCATCCCAATTCCCAACTACGGTAGCAGGCTCACACATCTTGCCATGCAACAATCTGATACTAGTAGAATGCCAAATTACAGACTGACCTAATAACCTAGCACTTGAAAACAAATCATCAATGTCCATAGCGCGTACAGGACACTTGAACAACACTGCGAGGGCGAACTCATCTCACCTTGCGAGGCCGTAGTGACAACTTGGACGAGGATGGGAAGGCCCAGCTCCTGGTGGCACAGCTCCTCGAGCCTCCCGCGACCGCCTTCCCCGCCGCAGCACGTGTCGAGGACCATGCACAGGGGATCCAGGACTCCCTGGTCCCTGAGCCCCGCGAACTCCCGCAGCGCCTCGGGGAAGAGCGCCTCCCAGACGGCGTCGCGGTGGAACTCCCCGGCGAGCGCGGCGTTCCCGAGCGCCTGGAGCGCGGCGCGCGCCACGTCGGGGGCGAGCGAGGGGAAGGAGAGCACGGAGGCGGCGACGGCGGCGGGGCCGCAGCGCTCGATGAAGGCGTACTGGTTGAGCTCGTGGCCCGCGAGGAGGTTGCGGAGGAGGCGGAGGCGCAGGAGCAGGAGGCGCGACGGGGAGGCCAGGAGGAGGAAGAGGGTGTCGGCGAGCACGTCGGAGAGGCCCTCCCGGCCCTCAGGGGTCCTGGAGGCTTGTATCAACGCGGCGAGGGTCTCCTCGCCGTCGTCGGATCGAGACATGTTTGTGGGGGTTTAGCGTGTCCTGATTGCTCGTTCTGAATGCTCCTGCCCTGCGCTCCACGATTCCTTTTGTTCACGGCCACCAGGAAGCAAATGGAGCACGGCGCGCTGCGGCATCTTCTGGCCGTTTGATGAAGCATAGACGGTTGTGATCAAGATCAAGTGACGATTGCTAGGCTTGGCCAAATTACACATTATTGAATGTACAGTAAAAGAAAAGGGTTGAAATCAGCCAGGCCTCCGTTAGTCCGGAAAGTCTGTATACAGATGAAATGGGGCGTGTTATTTGATTGAATTTGAATGCAGATTTGCGGGTCTGGGGAAGGGTGTGCAAGGCCTCCGTTTGCCCGGAAAGTCTGTATACGGATGAAATGAGGCGTGTTATTTGATTGAATTTGAATGCAGATTTGCGGGAATATAAAACCAAAAGGTCGTCTTGGGGTCAGTAGAGAGCTCCGCCGCTTGTCATGAGTCTGGGGAAGGGTGTCGATGGCAAGCCTTACCCTCGCCGATGTGCAGAGAGCGCATGCAGACGGGGTCCGGAGAAGGTGTGACTTGAACACGGAACGCTTTCCAGTGTAGAGAGCTCCCGACTTCACTCACGGGTACGAGGAAGGGTGCCATGCAAGCCGGAATATAAAACCAAATGCCACAAATAAATTGGCTGGTCACACGTACCGCTGGACATTGTTTGTCGAATTCAACTTGGACGATTTGCAAAAATGGGACTAGAAAACATATCTTCGCGCATGCAATGCGAGGAGATCATGACTTTGGACCTTTCGATTCATGGTAAGACTCTACCGTTTAGATGGACCAACTTCGGGAATATCCATCCAAATCCACAAATAAAATGGAGTCAATCTTACCGCTGGTCATTTTTGCAGTTTTTTCAATATGAACGGAAGACAATCCAGATGCCTAAATTCTATCCATACATCGATATTTCCTGGGTATTGAAACTAGAATACGAATACTGGAGAATTTTTTACTAGACCGACAAAATGTATAGTCTAAACTATATACGTACCTCACAGGGCAAGAAACATTTGTATAGCACAAAAAAAAAAAAACATGCTATTCAGCTCCCTCCAGTCAGCTCATCCATCAAGACACGACACGACTGCTCCAACAATACAACTGAATCCAGATGCATTAATCGTGTTAAACATGAAATCGTGCATTCAACAGCATAACTTGGATGTAACCAGTGATTCTGCAGATTATTCAGAATTCTTATAACCCAGCAGTGTGCTTGATTTGAATTTTGCAAGCACTGCAATCCACACTAAAGAACTGAAGAGCACCAGAATTTTTACTAAGCAAGCATTACAACAACGGCGCAGCTCTAACTAACTTTACAACCTTACAACTGGGCAGATATTAATCTAAGCTCCAGCTTCCCCTCCTAATAGATGATCTAAGAACACTCAGAATGCTTAGGACACCTGCCTCTGTTATTTGACTTGTTGCAGCTTCGGGCTGAAGACAGATCAGTGGCCGTTGGACATTGCAGTGGTGACAGCGTCACCTTTCACGTCGTAGAACCTTCGGTACATGGAGTCAACGTGCGTGAGATAATATGTGCCTGCAGATAGCAAACTTGTGTCTTGACTGGTCACGAAATCTTTCGCCCCATAGCGGTGCTCCATCAGTTTCAGTGCCTCGACAAATTTCTTTGGGGGAACCTGCATGGAACATACACTCACTTTATGTTAATCATAGTGGGCCTCAGTGATAATTGAAGATTTTTTTCTTGAAAGAATATTGCTAATACTCACCACATGTCTTGCCTTCAATTTCTTGGAAACATCCATTATGTTTGCAATGTTTAGTAGACTGAAAGGATGCTGGCCTTCATTAATCTTGAAAGAGAACATTGTTGATGTCAACCCACTGCCATATGAAAACATAACAATCCTCTGGCCTGCCTGGACATGTCAAAAGTACAGGAAGAAAAGAAATTACTTTAACATCGACCCGCCAGTCTTGTAAAAGCAGAGGGAAACACACACTGTAAATACTAAATAGTATTATACCAGAGTTTCATGTCTATTATGAATAATCGATGCAAGAGCGGCATAGAGTGATGCTGTATACATATTCCCAACTTGTTTTGGGATCAATGTTGTTGGCTGAACCTTGGACTCGTACAGGTTCTTTGCAACTTGCTGAGATGCCTGTGTAGCACAGCTTAAATGATCAGTGCCAGATAGTTTGACCATGTGGAGATACTTCTAATAATCGAACCTTTTATATACCTTTTCAAGGTCGCGACTCTGGTAGCTTTCTTCAGATGACAAGCCTGCATAGGGTGCCAATTTTTCCCTTGACTCTTCATCAACCGTGCTGCTTGATATGGGCGGGAAATCTTTTAGTTGAGCCAGTTGTCAATTTTGTCAAGTGAATTGTTTGATGCACGCAAAGATGCTAATATAGCAAATGACGAACCTGCAGTTTCTCAAGAAATCATTGTAGTACAAACGAGCGAAGCTTTTCTGTACAAGCTGAACAAAGCAAAAACTTATAATTAGGAAGCAGATAATAAAAAATACTTTGCCGAGAGCAACAAATATTAAGTTGCCTTTGCAAGACCATCACTGAGATGCCACCTGTCATGTGCACTTTGCTACTGAAATCTTAAAATCATAGAGTATGTGTGTTTTAGGTACCTTGTTGTATGGAGAATGGAACACAACATAATCTGCATCGAAAGTTGAAAACTGCTTTCCCTCATGCTTTTCGTACCTGAAATATGGGATAGTGGATTCGGATTCAGTCAGCTCACTCAACTTGGCTAATGTTCTGAAATAAAGGGGTATAACTTACTTTTTGCAAAATACATTGTAGCATGAGTCCAATGCCATGAGGTAGCATGTCTGTGATAGCTTCCCATCAACCACCTACATACATTGCACGGCATAAATCCCTTTCCATTAAATTTCAAGTTTATTGCATCTGTTTTGGTGTTCAAGACACATGTAGACTAGAGACAGACCGGATATTCACTTGTGAGATCGGGCTTGTAAAAGTCGTATACATGGGCCATATGAGATCCCCTATATCTGCTCTCAAAAGAAATAGGAGCATTTGGTCCAATCAGCAGTGCAATAGCAGCCGCACCACCAGTAGGACGAGCTGGACCTTCAGCGTAAACCTGAAAGAAAGGGTATCAAAGTGGATCGAAAATGTCAGGACGAGAAACAGCAAGTGCTTCAAAAGATCAAGAAAAATAATTATGTTTTGGCTAATTAATATCATCTTTACTCGTCACAAATTGAATAATAACATGTCACCTACCGCACTGTCTGTGCAAACAACAAGTCCATAACGCCCATCCCATGAGTTGCTCTCAACCCAGTTAACACAATTAAACAATGCAGCTGTTCCACCATAGCATGCATTTGACGAGTCAACTCCTTCAATATCAGTATTGCCAGATTCCTGAATTCAAATGAAGCTGTCAGAAACCGTAACCGAAGCAAGCTCAATTTGAAAATTTCAAGACAGCTATTGAAAATAAAATGAATTATTTTCACTTTTTAGCTTATCAACAAGGATCACTGGATCATGCCTGAAAACTTCAACCAACCAAGTTTAAAAAAAATTTGAAAAGAATTTTTGTAATGAAAGAAACAAACCTCAAATATTTGCATCAGCCATGTCTTTATAGACTTGCTCTTGTCTATTACTGTTTCACTGCCAACTTCCAAACGTCCAATGCACTTTGGGTCAATGTTATAATTTTTCAGGAGGGACTTCACCACTGTCAAGCTGAGCCAATATCTTAATAAGTTAGATTTATAACAATAGGACTAAATGAGAAACAAATATTGTCTGGGTATTGAAAATGAAATAACATTGTTTCAAATTGTGTTTCACAAATGACAGGATAAAGGTAAGGGACCAAGGACAATTATCTTCACAAATACAGGAACTAATATTCTGGTGTTGAAAGCAGAATCAATTGCTTAAAATCAAGCATGGCAAAGTGCTATGTTTTGGTTTAGCAATGGCTCTCCCTTGCTTAATTTTGTGCATGATGACCATGCATATAACTCCGAAACAAAAGAACGATCAAGATAATAGAAAAGAAAGATATAAAGAAAAGAGAAAACAAAGAAAATTGGAGCATTAACCAGTAAGTACTCAGAAAAAATAATATACCTCATTGAAATAACATCCTCAACTTCAGTGCAAAATGCCATACTTTCCTGCCCAAGCCCAATGGTATACTTTCCTTTGCTCACGCCATCATGTGTTTCCAACTCTTCCTGTAACAAATATCATGTAAATTTGCAGTACACCACAGCAACTACCAAATAGAATGATACTATACTAATAAGTTGAAGACAAACTGAGGCGTTACGAGTGATTCAACTATCTCACAATAGAAAACTGAATGTGTCCTAAAAAACACCAGTTGTTTTGAATGGGATGAAGCCCTCGTTTAATTTACAATCTTTTTTCCCCTCCAGTCGTATTCAAGTTTACAGATATTTTCTAAGAGGTCTGACATGTTGACCTATTATTCTACTCAGACAAATTAATTGTAGAAATAGCAGCATGCACTTGAGGACTGAAATTACTATGCACACGACTGAGGTGAAAGCTTTACTGATTTTCTGTAAACATGGTGAAACAACAAAGCAATACGTGATGGATTCTCCATGACCGTATGTGCCTGTATACTGTACTTTGGCTGTCGTAGGTAGCATTGCTGTTGAGCCTGTTGTGAACTGTGTAGCGTGTGCTAAGAAGAGTTTTGACAGATATTTCATCACTCATCAGCACAAGGTGCTTAAATGGCGCCACCAGCCCTGCACCTTGAACAGGCCACAGGGGGCCTAATACTACTAGAGAGTTCGTTTCAGTCGGCATCAACTAGACCTTTTCCTCCCCAACACAGAATTTTTGTTTCCAACAAAGCTAAGTGCCAAGAATTCACATGTCAGCAACTACGTCTTGTTCCTTTTGTAAAATCTGGGAAGGACCAAATTTCTTTTCACGAAAAGAATGGAAAAGGACCGTTGCTCCTATAGCCGGCTCATCAATGGCCAACACAGCTAGTACTTCATCTACAGTTCCATTCGACTCAATCGACGCATGGTTTAAGTACAGCTGGAAGTACTGATCAGGAATTATTAAGGTTGATTGGTGTATTTAGTGGACAACAGTTAAACGGATGAGTGTTAGAGGGACTTGAGTCAGGTGGGCCTAATTGTACTCAAGTCCCCCGATAATAGCCAGCTAAACACGGGACACGATATTTTGAAACGACCCAGCTCAACTTGCCAACGACACAACTCATTACGAGGTATGGGATTGAAACAGCTGTCTCGGCAGCAGGGCAGCTCTCTGAGCAGGGAGCCCACCTCCCACCAGCTCTGCTCCGTGCCGCACACAACTGCCACGGCGAACGGCCAACCTCGTGTCGCCGAGGGAGGGCCCAGGAGACCGACGGGGCCGGACCGCTGGGCTGCTGGAGGAGTGGAGGTCCTTCCTCCCTCCCCCGCAAGGCGCAACCCGGCGCGAAGAACGGCGGGTGACCTCAAACTCCTACCGGAACCGAACAGCCTTGACAGGCTAAAAGGCTAAACCCGCGGCAACCGTAAAGAGGTCGCGCAGGCGCAGGGGAACCACGCAAAGCGTGTGGTGGTGCTGTGTTGGTGTCCACGCCGCCTGCCCGCGCGCCTTGGAATCGAACAGACGGAGAGTGCGTGCGTGTCCGGTGATGCCCCCGACGACGGCGAATCCAAGGGAAGGGCCGAAGGGGAATGCGAATCTGGCGCGCGGGAAAACAGAGATGGCGACTGGCGATGGTACCTGGAGCACGCAGTTGGGCGGGAAGTAGATGTCCATGGCGAGGATGCCCACGTCCTTGGCCTCCGACGCCATCTCTCCTCCTCCTCCCACGCCGACGCCGCCGCTGCACGCAAAACTGCAGACAGCCCAGGGGCATGCATGCAAACCGTGTAAGAGCAAGTGAACTGCAATCTGGAAACTGCCAATCTCCGGCCACGGATTGGGTGATAGAGAGACAGAGGCCAGTACCACTGTACCAGTGGGAGGGGAGAAACGGATTGGGGAGGGAGCCTACAAGAGCGGATCGCAGTTGGCAGGAAGGGTGCGGGATGGGCCAGGCGGGCGGGCGAGGCCTCCCCCTCCTCGGCGCCGTATATGTAAGGATACACCCCGCCGGCAGCAGCGCGCAGCACCGCTTTTTCGAAATCCCTTTGGTGTTTTCTTTACGGGAAAATTGGATCCATACCATACATGTCTTTAGATGTCCATCAAAAGAATCACCTTACGACACTTACCATCAAAAGATGTAACTTTCTAGCTCTTACCATTTCTGTCAACCACACGTTAACAGACGTTAACTGCGACAAGTTTACCCTTGCTTGTAACATTTACATGGCTACGCTCCAACTCCCCTCCGGCAATAATGTAGCTGCACTCTAGTCCAATTTCAGCAGCATTATAACAGGATATAAGAGAACATGTAAAACATTATTTCACTAGGATATAACATAATATCTCATCAACATACGACACAACTTTTGAGCATTATATATCATGATTTTGGTTCCATTCCAGTACCATAATAGCTAATAGTTTGCAAGTTCACACCTAAATACCATAATATGAAATAGTGTTGCATAGCGGCATTATATTTACACACATAGAGTTGGACAAAAGACCACACTTGCCCAGCCATGCTCACACACAGATTAGAATTGAAAAGGTAATGTTTCTAGCTAATAATGAGCCTATGATTAATTCCTCCAGGTGAGATAGACGCCATCCTTCTTGTTGTAGGACCTGGGCTGATCGGAGAAAAAGAAGACATGCTTCTTGTTGTTACACCTGGACTGGACATCACTTTTGAATCAGCAGCAGTTTGTTACGCCATCACTGGTACGCCATAGATGTGTCTAGCCACTTCATGATCTCGTACCTCTTTAGGAACATCCCGGCGGATCCGTCTACCTTGTTGATTGGACCGTCCATCGTCGGCCTTGTTCTCCGTGATGTCGTGTCGCAGTGGATCGAACAGTGGCAGGAGGCCGGCCGATGAACTGCCATGGTTCGTAAGCGCTTTCCTTTTCCCATCCAATGTAGCTGTGGATCTTTTTCTCGGCACTCTTGTTCATCCGGCACGGCTGATGATCTGCTCGGGGTCCACATCATTCTCCTTTCAAACTTTGTTATGTGACCATGCTTCATCGGCTATTAGCTTCTCAATAAAATAACTCCATTCAGCTAATACTCCATCGACTATTTAGTTTTTACAGCCGATGAGCTATACTCATTTTATGCAAGCCGATAGGCAACCTGGAGGCCACTTAGGATTTCATGCGAGCTGATGAGTCGATAGAATTTATCCATGGTCTTCCAAGCCAATATCATTATTCTGGAATATAATCATCAGCTATTTTACCCTTGTAACATGAACCTTCAGAAACACCTGTAGTTAGATGCGTCTATAACCGATGAATTTACTTCTGTTAGAAGCTGATTCTAGATGTATATGACCATGTCAATAGAGTCTGCTCCTGTTCCGATCTGATTCCGTAGGAAGTTTGTTGGAGAACCTAAGGAACTGCTGGCGTGATCTTGGAGCTGCCCACACTCTTCATCCACCATGACTCGGATATTTGGAGAATCGACGTGCATGAGTTCAGGCCTGACAGCCCCTCCATCATCGGCTTTATTTAGCCGATTGGTTGTAGACATGTATATGCTTCCCTTTAGACAGCTTCTCCTACTTAAACATTGCACCTCTATGATCAAGCTAGTCAAATAATCCATGGTATGTGTTACTCGTCTGACATGTCCCTTGTTTATTTTACGATGATGAATGAACTCGCAGCGTCTTGATGATGGCCGAATAAATGCTAACATCAGCCTCTGACTTCTGATCAAACGATTGTGGTCCCACCGGGCATGTCAGAACGCGTGTCGGCGCGAAAACATGGTAGCCGCGTCGGGTGGACACGCAGCAAGCCGGAAGGATCTGCTCGGAGTAAGCCTAGAGATCCGCGTGGCTTCAACGCAGGACCAGTCGATCCTACGAATTCCTAAGGGTGTGCCAGTCAATTTGACCTATAATTGACAAGGAGAGAAAGTTTATCAGTAGTTTCGGGTTGAACATGCTGGTTTTGCCCAGACAATTACAAGTGTGCCGCTTCGGGAGCAGCTAGACGGAAAAATCGACTAAATCAGCCGATACGAGAAGAAATCGACTGTTAAGCACCGTAAAGCTCGCGGGACATGATTAATTTATAGTAACGAATACAATGCACCCAGTTTTAATGATCATTTCTCTTAAGCTATTAACATGTATGCGTCAAAGATACATCACTGGCTAAATCAGATTTCATCAAATATGTGGTGTGAAGCCAATGAATTCGGTAAAGAGGGATATGCCACGCAAACAATAGACTGATGAATATAAAGGGATCTACGAACTGTCTAGATCTAATTCATTACCACCAACAGTGATGTTCAATCGGATCGATATAGCTATGATGATGACAATAATCTAAAGCCAGAAAATCCATAAAACCGACTATACGTCAACGGATTCACGAAAGCGTGTCATATCTGTGAAAGCACAGGCGAATCGGCTAAAATAGTCGATTCAGGTAGAAAAATGATTATAGCATGTGAACAATTGACTATTTAATATGAACAGATTTATAAAGTCATCAAACCTAACATGTAATCCTTAACAGTGGGGTTTCACCGGATCGATGACAGCCATGATAAAGATAACAGATCAAACCTTTAAAATAAACAGATCTATTTACACTTAACAGAATCATGAAGACACACCATAAGCGTTAAAGTACTGGCAATCGGCTATTTAGCCGATGCAGGCATAACAAACAGCAAAGGTCACGCCTGGTCGAAAGTAAATCTACCAACTAGCATACTCCGATTTAAAGTGCTAATAGTGGGGATCGACCGGATCGTTACAGCCATGATAGCGAGCTATAGAATATATTCAACTAGCTAGTAAACCTTCTCAAGATCAGACATGCCTTAGCCGCATACTATGCACGATCAAGATCGAGGTAGAGCGGCCGATAAAACATAATCCGTCGTTTAAAGTAAGAATGATGAGGACATCACTACTTTGGATGTACCAGCTGATCCTCCAACCGTCATGCAAGGTCCAATGACCCGGGCTCGAATGCGTCAACTCAATTTAGAGGTGAGCTCGTTCTTAAGCGATCCTTTTCATACTTTTGAGAATAGACTACTACCTAATGATGTTATCTTCTTTAGGAACATTGGAGAGGGTCAAGAGGGACTAAGAGGACATGGAGGAGGTGATGATGACCAACAAGGACGTCCAACATGAGCCGGAGGCCTAGTCCAACATGATTTCGAGACTGCCTTGGCCTCCAGGACCAGTCTGCCTTAAACTGGTCACCTAGGACACATCCGGACTCCATTTTCGACGATCCACATATGGATGGAAAGCTAATTTGATAAGAAAGTCAATCCAAGTGGTCTCACATCAAAAGCTGTTCGGAATCAACGGGGATCGTGGTCATAAGACAGCATCCAGAATCTACCAGGGTGCTGCGACACCGTCTTTTGGTCCGTTGGACCATATATCGTGTTTGGGCCCATTAGGGGCGCGTCCAGGGGTCTTGCATGACACTAGAGTCTTCATAAACAGCCGCCGCTTCTCCATTAGGGTTTGGGTTTTGCTTAGATTATTCTGTGAATAACAGTTTCGCCGTTCATCGGTTTGTGAGACCTCAACTTCGTAAGATAATCATTCATCCGCAATTTGGTTGCGTTCTTTCTTGTTCTTGCTTGTGTTCTTCGTTGCGCAGGCAGGGATTAGCCTTCTTGGTGAGGTCAACCTAGTCCATAACTTGGTTGATAACCAGAGGAGCTGTGGTGCTAAGATTGTAGGGTTCGATCTTTTGATCTGAAGCCGGATCGGTGTGTCATTATCCGCCACAACGATAGTTACCATTACCTGACGGAAGATCGGGATCCAAGTCTTCATTAAGTGGTATCAGAGCTAAGGTATACCGTCAGGTTCACTTTTATTCCCTAGTTTGAGTGTTTCGCATTCGTCCCATAATCCAGTGCTATACTTGTTTTTCCTGTCCTAGAACCTTCCGTGCCATAGCCTTTGCATATTTCAGTTTCAGAGTCCGTTGTGTTGAGTTTGTGTCCTAGTCGAGGTCTTGTTGCTGGTTAGGTCGTGTTATCGTTCAGTTCGTGAGTTTTCCCCCATTGTTTCCATCAAATCTTTGCTGTTGTGACCACTTTTGCGCACATTGTTCCCGTTTTGTCTTCTAATTCGGAGTCAATTCTTAAAACTGGTCTAGTTTTCGCATACGAACTCCGATTTCGACGTTCCATATATCAAAATCGATCAGAAAAAAATTTCGGATCTGTCCATCCCTAGGCTTGCTGGGGTTCAGAAATTTTAAATTGGTCAAAAAGTGGTCACAAGATCATCTTTTCGTGGTCACAATGTTTTTTTGTCGATTTTGATCAAGTTTTCTGAAAATTCCACAAGACGCGTCTTTCACTTGTTTGAGCTCATATTTTTGTGGTTACTTCTTTTGTGCTCCTAAGTAAAGGAAAAATATCAAAAAATAAAATAAAAAAGTTGAAATTTCCTAAAAAAACAACGACAGCCCAAAAAATAGAAAAAAAAGAGAGGCAAAAGAGGAACAATATTTATAGGAGCACATAGAGAAGATCAAAGTGAGCTGTGTTAGCGTGTGTTCTCTGGTTCCTTGTTTGTGTTGCTGTTTCCATCCACCATACTTGTTTTCACACACCAATCACCTTACTATCCACCATACTTTTGTCACACACCTGGTACTTGCAACACTTTAGACCAGCAACGAGAACAAGTACTTTGGACTATAATTCAGTATTACTTTCTGTTACTGA